GCATTAAAAAAACTACATAATTCACAGAATATTTCTGATGAATTTCTTAATGAGGTAAATTATTTTATTTTTTTATTAATTTTCAGATTTTTAGATATTATCAATTATTATTGTTGTAATTAAATATTTTATTTATTATTTAGTTCAAAAATTATATGAAGTTTTATAATAAAAGTGATATAATTCATATTTATGGTTTAACACAAGATCCAATTACCAAAGAATATATATTTGTAATGAGATATATGGAAGATGGAAGTCTTCAAAATTATTTAACTAAAGATTTTAAAAATTTAAAATGGAAAAACAAAATTGAAATTCTTTATTATATTATTAGAGGTTTAAAGGATATTCATGAAAAAGAAATTATTCATCATGATTTTCATAGTGGTAATATTCTTCAAGATTATAATTCATATATTGCAGACTTAGGATTATCATGCACATCTAGTCAAACATCATCATCAGACAAAAATGATATATGTGGAGTACTACCATATATTGCACCAGAAGTTTTAAAAAAGAAACCATATACAATGGCATCAGATGTATACAGTTTAGGAGTTCTGATGTCTGTAGTATCAACTGGTCAACAACCATTTAATAATTTGGCACATGATGAATATCTTGCAACGGATATATGTAAAGGTGCAAGACCTGGATTCTTGTTAGAGAATAATTATTATCTTAATATTTTAATACTAATATATATATACTGTATAATCTCTTAAATTTATAGTGCTGGAATTATTCCATCAAAGCCATCATTTCCTCCTCCCACAACTTCTTCATCTGGTTATTTATTACCATCCTATCGTATATATGGATTTATTGTTACTATTGTTCTAATGTTTCTATTATAACTTATTAATATGTATATATATTTATTTTTTCTGAAAAAAAAAATTATAAAAATGAAATTTCTGATTTTTAATTTTTTTGTGCATTGACTAAAATTGCTTATCTGCCTTGACATCATCATGATGATGAATATTCAGTCTTTTGATATAGGGGTTTTACGACTAGGACTATCTCGATTCCAACATTACGAGCAAAATTGCAATAGACCATGCATAAAAGAGCAATTTTTAAAATAACGGAAAAGGCCGTAATGGTGGCGGTTATTGATGATTGATGGTGATTAATCATCATATTGATTATCTCGAAGGTTTTAGTACCAGTTTTTCGACATTCTTTAACGTGAGTAACTGGAGGGCATAAATATCTCAAGGATGTAGGAAAATTTACTATATAGATATACAAGTTCTGCACCAATTAATTACATGGTTTTTATTTGACAACATATATAACAGTGTAAACATATTTAGTTATAGAATTGATCTCTTCCTCGACTTAAATACCAATATCAATATAACACACGATTTTTAATTTTTGACAACATAATAGTTCATATTAATACTAAAGATGATGATATCGTAAATAATTTACCAAGTTTATAAATGCCTATTATGCTTTTTCTATACTTAATATCTTTTTAAATTGGTGTATTTTTTATTGATAGTAATTTTTCATTGAATTAA